TATATATATATATATATATATATATTGGATCACCAAATAAATTCTCGTCTTGCTCGATTTAGTTTCGCGTTTAATGCCGCTATTTACCCAAGCCGTTGTTGCATGATAATTGCGGCACGACCCGACGACGTGTTCCGCCGATGCCGTAATTCCAGACATCGGCAAACGCGATCGCTAATCGTACAATTATTGTCCGTTCGTTTTATTGGCACATACGATGAATATGCAGCTGCATATCCGAAAAATCAATACAATAATAATAATAAAGCGATATATTTCTATCGAATGTACAGATTTTTCTTTAGCGGAATTTTTGGAACGTCCAATAATTGAAGTTTATCCCGATTAAATATTGAATCCAAAAGTGTTAATAAAATAAAAATGGTAGATTTTTTCCTCTCCCTCTATCCGTCTATCTATCGATATTTATATCTATCTAACTATCTTTAACTGCAGTTAGATGACGTCAATCGATCGTCCTTGCTGGCATATTTTTTGTCTGATACGAAAAATGGTCACTGTGATATTCAGTTGATCTTTTTTTTCAGAGACACAGTCACGAAACCATCGCTGCAACTAACCGTGTTGATCAATTCAATTGTTACCGTTTAGTCAAGTCTTTATGGTACTTGAACAAAGTTTTATATGCGCGACTAGATATAAGCGGTCAGAATGTAAAGAAAGTTTTACAACTGTGCGCGTCGTATAGAAATATTTATTTCGATGTTTCCTCGCGCTATACCTAGCGTCACGTGAAATATTTAAATAATTATTCTTCGACATTACAGTTTTAATGCTGCTTTGTCTCGCAAATACTTCACATTCGCGATTACTGCTACGTTGATCGACGTTAAAATTTTAACTTGAAGAAATTGATCGGTTCTCGTTCGTGTCACTGCAGTGTGTCATCTGGCATCTGCCCGCGGTTCATTATCCTGCGTTGCGATATGAAAAATCGATACGGGGCATCGATATAAGCAGATCCTAATGCAGGCGCGTAAATATTTTCACTACGCTGAAAGCAGAGGGAATATTGCAAGCGTAAACATTTTCCCCGTTACCTGCGAAAGCAACGTAGATACTTAGCCTTAAACGCATGTCGGCGTGTATAAGCGATGACGGAAGTTCGGGAGAGAAACATAAACCGAACGGGAAGAAGCCTTGTAACAAGAATGGAGAAGAATACCTATCGATCCGGACCAATTATTTGTTTCCCCAATCCCATTAGCGAACGCAAACGAACGGGGGAGAGAGAAAGGTAGAGACGAAAAATTCCCTCTTTTTTCGCAATTATATATTATACTTTGTATCTCTCTCTCTCTCTCTCTTTCTCCCTCCCATTCTCTTTGGCCAGAAAGGCTTCCAAGTTTTTCATTCACTTACGTGGTTCGTCGACGTCGCCGAGCAGAACTTCCGCCACGACGAACCGGGCCAGCAAGCTCATCAGCAAAAGCATCCTCTCCATTGTAAGCGGAATGAATCCTTGCCTCTCTCTCTCTCTCTATCCCCCTCTCTCGCCCCGCCCCCTCGTGCAGATACACCGTCGTCCTCCTCCTTAAATCCCGCGCTTAAGTGGGAGCCGACGCGGCTGATAACTTTCAATGAGACGAGAGCGATCCCCCACCGGTGATCCGTCAGGTCATCCGGAATCTCGGCTCTAACGGGCGCATCTCGTCATAAGAAACGAGCGACGCGGGGGATGATCCGTCGCATCGATCTGTGTGACCCTCCCCCTCCCCGCTGAGGCGAGCGGAGCCGGTCCTCCAGCCGGCCGATTTTCACCGGCGATGGGGAAAAGGCACAGGGATCTCCTCCCCCTCCCGTCCCAATAAGACGACCGATGTACACTCTTAACGGTAACGAGCGACGGTGACGACGACGGCGGAGGGTCCCGACCTGCGCGCTTTGAGAGGAGGCTTAAGTGCAGTTGACGGAGCACGCGAGGCACTTCGCCGGTAGACTCCCGACGTAAAACTGCGGTATATTATAAGTAAGTCGCGCAGCTCCTTAAAGGGCTCCGCGCGCGATTACGCGCGTTATTTATATGTACGCAAACTCCCGCAAACGCCGGTCTCTCCTAACGGGGTTACCCGATCGGGTAATTGTACATCCTCGCACAGTCTATTGGCGTTTCACTTCATACACCACTAAGCCTCACACGCGCGCGGCCACGAATGACCCATCAGCCCCCACACACACGTCGTGTCTCACCTCCGTCATCGGGGCACGTTGGCGTTAATGACGTAATGATGTTTTTCGAGAACGTGGGACGGAAAAATATCGATATCGAGGCTCGGGATGAGCTTGCGTTCGCCGCGTTCGACGCCACGTCGAGCGTTAACGGATGCAATTAACACGCCGTCGTGCCCCGCGCACGAAAAACATTTCGCGTTGCACACTTTGGTATATCGGGGATTATTACCGCCCACCGTCCTCCGTGCATGCTTCCTTCGTCCCCCGCAAAATTCACGCTTCGCCGCTTGCAATAATTATAGGCGCGAACGTGTTGCGGAAAGGTAAACGCGTTCGGGCGGCAAACGCCGAAGTGCAGTTTGGCATCTCCAGTCACCTCGTCGGCAGACTTACTTCAAGTCGATTATCCCGATAGTCGTGATTTCAGGTACGAGTGCGAAAATTATCGATCATCTGGGAAGATTCGTCTAGCTTCATAATATTATCTCTATCTTAGTCGCGAAAAAATAATATCTCTCGTCCCTTCTCGAGGAAAGAACGCCCGAGCCGCCGCATGATTCCGTGATACCAGATCGCCAACCTCGGGTCAGCGGCCGACGGTGGCGAACTCGTGCCAAGTCTCCTCCGGGAGACACGTTCCTATATACGGTGCACCCTGGCGTGACGAGGGTGGTCCGTCCACTTTCGCTGTCGCGGAAGTCCACTTTCACCCGATCTCGGCGGACCGGATCTCGCTCCCGCGGGAGATCGGGGTCCAATCGGCGTTCCCAACCGATCCCGAGCGGGTTCTCGGGAGAAACGCGAAACCCCTTGCTCAAGGTGGAAGGCGCGCTCACTGCTGCGTTGCGGCAGGCCTACTGACGGTACCGTCGGAGCTTTCGGCTCGGCTCGGCGCGACTCGTGCGGCTCCGTCACCCTCCGGTGCGGCGGCCGCTTAAAGCGCCCGCCGATCACTTTTCATCCCCTTCGCGCCCGCGCCCCGGCCCCGTCCTACTCCACTGCGCGCAGTTCCCTCCCTCCCGGAACTGCCCGACACTTCGCGAATCGGTTGAACGTTAGAAAACGACTGCCGCGTCGCTCGCTGAAAACGCTGAGACCGCGAGACGATACGGAACAAAGGGAACGCGGGTCGTTTGTGTTTAGCTTGTAGCTCGGAACGTGAGAAATAAGGGTTAAAAGTATACGGGGGGGAGAAGGGGGGCGAAGTAATCTGTACGCCAACGACGAATGAAGAAAATCCTGAGATGTACAGATAGAATTATAAAAGTATTATATAAAATGAATTCGGTAAGCTTATTCGGTAAGCGAAAACTCAAGTCTAATAATCTCTAATAATATCACGAATAAATTAAAGAATTATACTCTCGCATTTTTTAAATTTAATCTTTATCTCTTTAAAAGAAAATATTTAATTTTAATGTCTTTTCTTTTTATAATATATCCAAGGTCATGACACGATATCGCTTTTCAAAGCGTGTTATATAATCATTTCTTGAAATGCGAAAACGTTACTCGAGCAATTCCTTGTCATTTTGTATTAAAAAGAGGATTATGTCAAACACACGTGGACGTAGGTGGATTACGAGCGATACAAAGCATTTTGCAACTCTCTGCGTTTCACGCATAATGACAACTGCACGACTAGCCGAAACGGCGCGGTGTGCTGCGTTCTGGTGCGTCTGACCAACTACGCCCGCGACTACTTCGCGTCTCTCTCTTGATTGACTAAAACTACTTGCATACAGATTTTGAATTTCAGAGAGGAAATATTGGACTAAAGTTGTTTCGTAAATATTGAAAGAGAAAATTATTTAAACAGAGACAAATTATATTAGGAGTAAGATAGCCATTACAAATCTGCTAATTCCACAGTATATATTATAATATGTATTAAATAAGTAGCGACATTATATCTACGATAAATAAATATTATAGATTAAAACATTAAGATGATAGCAGTTAATTAAATAAAAAAATATACGCATTATATATATATATATATATATATATATATATAAATAAAATTAAAAAATTAGAATGTGCCCACAAATATTACTTTATTACGATTTTTTTTCCTGCCAGTTAATTCCTCATATCCACGCATCCCGATTTACTGCACGCAGTTTTTTTTACATGCGCTTTGTGTTGCAGTAAAATAAAAAAACAATTCAAGAAAAATGACAACTGCCAATGCATAAAAGCGCGAGTATTAAAAACTAAAAATTGAATTACAGAACAAGCCGGATTTAATTCGTGCACCCCGCGGGCAGTGAAAGTGATTTACGTGTACGTCGGCTAACCGAAAAAATCACACATGTGTACACGCGTGAAACGTATGCATCGCATTGGCATGGACATTTAAAATTCGGGGACATAACTGGAAAAACGTGAACTGTTAACTCTTTGTCAGCTGCCCCTTTTATCTTTATTTAAAAATTTTACAAAATTTGTATTGCAACAATCCTAAAATGGTTCAACTCCCGAAATTACCTCGTGTCAATAAAATTTTTCAAAAACATCGCAATATCGCGAGCTTATAATTGTGCAATAACGCTAAGCGTCATGTTTATATATGTATAATACATGCAACATGTATCGAGTAGCCATGCCAGCATTTACCATAATTATAGTGTATTCACTAAAAGCGCAGGTGCGCAATAAGGTGTACTCAAGACGAAAGTTTATTGCCTCCGCAACAAGTTTCTAGAACGCTATTGTAGAACGATGATTCGCTCGTGATATTACACTTGCCGAAATGAGAATAGTCCGAAATACCTGAATATTATCTCAATACCGCAATGAAACATTGCTATTTGTCTCATGGTTACAATGCCCAGTAATATGGGCATTGCATTCAAGATATTTTGTACAATTATTGCTGGTTTCTCACTGAACAGAGAACTGAAGATTAGTGGAAGAAGAAGCGTATGTAAGCGTTACATTATAATTAAGTTTAGCATTTTAAGTTTTTATAATATTGACATATCCGTTATGCAATACTAAAGATCAATCTTGATTGATTTTAATAAATTTTAAATTTATTTCTAATATTTCTAATATTTCAATAAGTGCGTGAGAACACGAGCGATACCAATTCTGATCGATTAACGAAGATTAGCGATAAAAAGAGAAATCTTTGAGAAGTCTTTGATATCTTCATAAATGCTGTATTTTTTTTGCTAATAAAACTGCAAGTTAAAGAATAAATTCTTATCAGTAGTTCTCTCCCCTCTCCTTTGTATGTGTCATAGATCTTCATTAGGTAATTATCCGTTGTTATCTTTCCGAACATAATTCTCCTGAAGTTGTCAAAATAATCGGCAGCGGAGTTGGCCTCTTCACACCGCGAACTTTCCGATAGTTGTACTTCGCGGTGTGATATAATACCTAGTACATTGCCGGAACGTAAAGCACCCGAGTAAGATATTGCGAATCATCGCGCGTCGTTAATTCCCTTTTAGTGCGGCAGCGAAATTTAATTAGGAATTTTTATCCGAAAGATGATGTAATAGTCGCCGTACAATTGCGCATACAGATCGACCAAGACTTTAAATTCACTCACTATTAAGTATTCACTTGCTTTTGCAACATTTTTAAATGCTATCAGCCACTATCGTTATCGTACATAAAAAACTAGAACGCAGTACAGTTGCGCATAGAGATCGACCAAGACTTTAAATTCACTCACTATTAAGTATTCACTTGCTTTTGCAAAATTTTTAAATGCTATCAGCCACTATCGTTATCGTACATAAAAGAATAGAACGCAGTACAGTGCAAAAGTACGCTAATTCAAATTACGTTGATGCAATTTTTTATAAATTTCAAATATTTTTTAATAAGTGTGTGAGAACGAACGAGACTGATTAGTTAGTTGGTAATTAACGAAAATTAGACAAGAAGAGAAATCTTTGAAAAGTCTTTGATGTATTCATAAATCTTCTTCTATGTTGTGTGATATGTGTTTGTTACGAAATATATATCTTCATGATAATAGTTACATGTTTTTCAATATCAACGAGTGACTTTATAAACAACATGTTTACTACAAACTATTTACTTTAATTAGGGAGATATATTGTTTTTATCGTCGTTATTTATGCTAGTATGTATTTTAGTTCTTAACATAGAATTGTGACGCCAAGAATGATATCAAGACATTTTTATCAGCAATATATAATTTCCATTTTAATTGCAGAAATGTTTCTCTCTCTCTCTCTCTCTCTCTCTCTCTCTCTCTCTCTCTCTCTCTTGTTGACGTAAAGAAGAAGTAATAATTTATTCGTCTCATGACTGAGTTAATAGCACATTTTCAAAATAAAGAATTACATTTTAGTTGCTTTTATTAAAAATTTGATAATAATTATACCTTTACTATTAATAAGCAATTGTGTATCGTAAGTAAATTTTTTCAATTTTCTTTCACAAATGACATAAGATATACATCGTTAAGATATATATCTTACATCATTTGAGAAAGAAAATTTTAAAAATTTACTTAGAAGATATATGTGTATAATCAATATAATCAGTGCGCGTACACATACACACGTGCACATATTTTTGTGATAAGCAATAATCCATGTGCTCTCATATTACAGGAAACTTCTTCTACTTTTTCGTTCGTTTGCGCGTGTGCAATTCTCATTTCAGAAATTGTAATCCGGGTTTAGCTTCTATAATATGATAGCAGAAACTGTGTACAGAATTTTTTCAGTACACAGTATTTTAAAACTTTTTACTGTCGCAATTCAGATTTTATAATTATTTAAGATCGTTTCTTTCTTTGTAAAATTAATTTCAACGTTCACGGTAAATATACCATGCGAGCTCAAAAATAAACAGTAATAAGAACGGTATAAATATTATAACAAAAAATTCTACACGAATAATTGAGAAGAACATTTCACCCGTAATTAGACATGTTTTGAATTATTGTGGATATTTAAAAATATTTAAAATATTTAAGATATTTAAAAGTGTTGAATAATAAATTTAAAAATCAAAACGGATTTTATAATACTACTTTTACATACAGTTTTATTAGTACTATAATTGATATGCATACACATATACGTTATTTATGCATATATGCTCATAATGCCCATACTTCAAGTGCATCAAAAAACCATTATCTATTTACAGTACCATGTGTGTATTCAAATAAATGTCATTACGAAAATGATATTATTTATGATGCACGAAATGACAGTGAGGAACATATTTGAAATGGATATCAGAAATGGATATATTTAAACCTGAAACATTATTTAGCCGTCAATAATGATATAATTCTCCTTAATTATTCTTATAAAATATTATTATCAATGTTACGCAGCGTGCTGAGCTGCTCGATTAATTATCTAACACGCAATTATCTCATATTTATTATTTGATGTTTGTAATAAAAAGGATACATCAGTCAATTCTAAAGTCTATAAAAGATTAGTGAGCCAAACATTTATACATATGTATAATCTGTTTTCATTATGAAATTATTATTATCGCAAATAATTCATCGATAATTATCATATCTAATGAAAAAAGTTACAGAAAGAATGAGATAACTCTTACAATTTACAATTGCACAAATATCGTTTAATCATTCTTAACATTTCGCATAGTATCGCATACATGTCAAATCGATACAGCGACGCGCGGTTTTGCTCTTACAATTATAAAGTTTATTGTGTAAAGTTAATACGGAGCTGAGAAAAATATTACAAAAAAAAAACATTATCCATATTGCGATTAACGAACAAACAAAGCTCATAGCAAGAATAGGCCCGAGTCTTTTGAATCGTCTGGACGTATCACGATTGACAATGCCTATTATATCTAAATACGATTTAATTGTTCCAACAATGTTCCAACATTATTCCAACATTACAAAGAGCGTTACAATGAAACGCGAATGATACTTTTATATATCATTTTGCGCTGCTTAATTAACTTACAATTATATAGATGTACGTATACATGTAGTACAATATATACAAATTACGTGATAATTGTCGTGTTACGCGAGCTTGGTCAATTTTACATATATGCCGTGTGTTGTTTGCAGCATCAGAGAGCCTAGCGGAGCATGGACGATTGGAATCTGAGTTTTTTCGCAAACGTCTATTTTATAATTCGTCAGCACTTTGATTAGACCGATCTTCGTCTGATTAATGGCAAACCTCGCACCTGAAAAAAAAAAAAGAAACAGCGAGCGTTACATTTCGATATTTCTCAAGTCAAGTGTGCCTGCGTGTGTATATGTGTGCATGCGTGCATGTAAAATGAATATTATATGTGCAAGAGAGAGAAAATAATAGCACAAGCCACAAGATTTTTTTTCAATTACCGATACAGTTTCTCGGACCATCTCCGAAAGGCAGATAGTACATGGAATTCCTCTGTTCCACGTTTATCGCGCTAAATCGTTCAGGATCGAAAACCTCCGGGTCTGGATAAATATCCGGATCATTTTGAATGGCAGTTATGGGTATAATCACTTGCTGTCCCTTGCGTAGACTGATCTTGGTCCCCTCGAAAGTATAATTTTTTACAGGTTTTCTCGTGAGATGCATTACTGGTGGATATTTCCTAAGAGTCTCTGCAAAATAAGATATAAAACACTTGGCTCACAACTTATTTTCGAACAGCCGATTACCTACCGAGGGTTGACAAATATTTTGCCGAAGTTATCCCCTCTGACTTTTCAACGAGCTTATAAAAAAAAAATTGCGGCAAATTTATGAGTAATTTTGATTTCGTTGAATTACTAAATTCGAATTATTCATTTTGAAGAATAAACAAACCTTGAAAGACCTTATCCAAATAGCTCATCTTCTTGATGTCATCGTATAATATTACTCCATCACTACTGTTCAAGACTTCCTTAATCTCCTCTCGAACTGTTTCCTGAATTGATTGATTTTGCGCCAACTCGTACATTGCATAAGTCATCGTGCTAGAAGATGTCTCGAAGCCAGCCGCAAAAAATACGAACAATTGGGCAGCAAGGAACGGATCCGTTACATCTGTAAAAATAGAATATTATTTAATAATTTATTGCGGACGTACAAAATTTACATGAAAGACGAGAAAAAAAGAAAAAAAATTATATATGTTTATAAATGATGAGGCGTCGATGAGGCGTGTTGTTACAATTTTGGTTTAATGATTATTCATTTATTTGTGCTTTGGGATTAATTATATAGTATCGGATGCGATCAAGAGATCGATAAATTTAAGTATTTGAGTCCGGTCACAGTCTAAGTTTTATTCAAGTATATTATAATAAAAGTTTATTATTATTATTATACACGAGAATACGCCCGTACGTTTCAGTATCTACTAGCCGAATCATTACATTACATTTTGCCTGACCTGCCTTTCGAAAGCTTGCTTTGTCTTATCACTGTTGTGTACACATTTAAATTTTAAATAATGTTGCTCTTCCTTTTTATGCGCGTGCAATTTACAGTAATGGTTTAAGAAGTTTATTGGTATTACAATCTGGCACATTGTATTATATTGCATATATGAATAATTTGCCCAACGAACAAACGTTACAATACTGCAATTTAATAAAGCGATATTTCTGAAATCTTAAACGTCGCGCTGTTATCATTTCGCCAACGAGCCTATCTGTCTCTATTGTCGTGTGTTTGTCTTTATTGTCGTCTGTTTGTTTGACTCTGTCTACGCTTTTTATACCGCCAACAGCTGAGCGGATCAGCGAACCCGTCAGCATTAGGTATATATATAATATGGTACTTATGGTACTAATATATCTTTCCTTCTATTCTCTCGAATTTTCGACGTGAATTGAATTTTATTAAATGCAACTAGAATAGTGGCGAAGCAATCGTCACACAATGCTTACCAGAGATACAGAAAAAAGTTAAAAGCTGAATATAGGAGAAAGCTAATTATTTCATAATTATAGTCGCTTACGAAACATTACGCTATTCTGTTAGAAACGTTTTATCGAATTTTAACGAATATTCGATTATCTCTCAAGAGAGAGAATAAACGTGAGAAAAGATAATAACAAAAACACATTAAAAGAGGGAAAGTGTTCTTACTGTTAACGCCCAGCTTGTCGGGATTATCCTTGAGATCGACAAGTATATCGATGAAATCGTTGCGGCGCACATTGTTCCGCTTCCTGTGCTCTATAGCGCTCTGGGTAAGCTCCGTCATGAAGTTGACTATGTCATGATCATCCAGGATATGTCCGACATGCTTGAACAGCCACGGTAATTCCCTGAGCATGTTTCTAAAAAATACCTTAAAAGTGGAGCGGAAGATCCTACGGCCCATTGTCTGGAACTGATTATTCTCTTCTTTCAGCGCGTTCATTTCGAGGCTGAAAACGCACGATCCGATCACGTCGACGGTGTATTTGGACGTTAGATCCCGGCACTCGACGACACTATCCTTAGACACTATCTCGTGCAGATACTTCTCGAAGTGTTCGGAACAGTTCAGCAACAAGTGAAACATGTCCTTCAACTTCCCGGACGTGAAGATGGGCGAGAGCCTCATTCTTAATGGCCGCCATCTAGCAGCGTCGATCCTGAAGAGGTGCAGGGACAAGGGTTCGGCCTATAAATTATGCATCAGTGTATCAGAAAGCGGGAATTATGTTAGAAAGTTTCCTCTCAAAGTTTTCGCGTGATCAACGCCTGGTCCCGAAACTTATACGTCGGTTCAACTTTATGGAGAGAGAAAAGGAGAGAGAGAGAGAGAGACACTCTTTCCAACACTTAATTTTCCAAGTTATTTATTCGATACGTTCCAAGTTATTTAATTGATATACGCTCCAAAATAGAGAGAAAAAGAGAGAACGAATTAAAAATAATTATTTTCAATAATAACTAAAATTTTAAAATAAAACTAACTCAATAATAATTAAAATTTTTAATAAAAAAAGTAAAAAATACCTTTTCATAAACCATCGCCTGTCGATCGGCAAAGATTGCGAAATCCTTGATTAGCACCTGTTTGATGTACTCGGGATCCCTCAAGATCAGCACGGGCTTTCCTCTCACGAACACACCCACCATGGACTCTTTCGGGTATCGCTTGTAAATGTCGGTGAAGAAATCACCCAAGCACTTCTTACCCAGCATAAATTCAGTGGCATTGCCGAAGAACGGAACGGGTTTTGGCCCGTTGATTCCGCGCGACGTCCAATAGTCGAAGTCAGCGGTCAAATAATAATAAAGTAAGTATAAGATCACCACGCAGACACAGAGAATTTCGAACATGCCCGCAGCTATCATGGTCAGTTTCTGCGTACGTTCTCGACCGTATAAACTTAACGTTAACCACTTACAATGTTACGATAACAATAAATTACCAACATTTACGGAAAATAACTGACACGTGCGTGATGTCTGGCTGCGATAAAGTTAGACGGGAGAGCCTTCTCGCTACGCTGTCTTAGACGAGAATGACTCAGAATGTGTGACGGGGTTTATAACCACATCTTTGTGACTCATGAAATATTATCAAATCATTCTATTTTTGAGCGTTTTGAAGTTTTATTATCTACTGATAAATTATATGACCAATAAATTGAAACTCATGTTTCTTTTTTATATTAAAATACAAATTCTAATAAAAAAAACACAAGTTTCAATTTATTGATCATTTAATTTGTCAATAGATAACTTTAAAACGTTTGGTAATAAAATGATTTATGATTTAACAAAAAACATTGATACGAGAAGATAACGTGTTGTTTATACTGATAAATATGGGAATGAGAACGAGAAATTATCTATGTTAATTCTTATTAAGATACAGAACTTGCTTGTCATTCTCATAAGACTAAACCTACACCGATGTCGACTAAATATTTATTGTACGCCAACAAACACGAGTGCATCTCTACATATTTAGCGTGTCTTCAAGATACTTTATTATTTTATTAAAAGAACGCTAATATTATATCTTATTATTTTTATACCATGGTATCTAAATTCATACATACCTTACGAATACAATTATAGCTACCTAGCAATTTTATAAATACATATAGATATTGAATCTATTTGATATCTTCCGTTTTTTGTAGTCGTATAGCTATGTATTATAAATTATAAAATAAAATATTGCACTATATTTGCGTATCGGTGAATATATATTAGTTCGTTAGAATAGATAACTGTAAAAACTTTGCGCTAATACAGATGGCACGTGCATATTTAAAAATTTATCGGTAACGTAGAATATTATATTGTTTTTCATTTGGTGTCGTTAAAATTCATTGTTATTGATAAAAATTATTATTATTAAACAATAAGAGCTGGTAGAATTACATAACTCTCTTGATAACCCTCTGATATAATTTAGGACTTACTGTAGATAAGAGAAAGACTTTCATTAAGTTTGTAGTGTATGTCGTAAGTAGGAGTATGTTTTAAGATAAGCTAATATGCTCTGTAACTGTATGATATCTTAAGACTGTACTTATAAGACGGCGTTAAGTATATGAGTTCTACGTTGTATTTCAGTGTCGCAAGTCATAAGAATTGACCAGTCATAGTCGAATATTTTTCATATTTGACTATTATTGATCAATTTTTGTGGTTCACGGCTTACGACACCGACATACGACGTATGGTAGAATGTGCCTACACTGAGAAAAAAAATTTGTTGAAAAACGCAAAATTTCATTTTACTAAAATATTTAGTCCGATACGTTTAACTAAATTACTACAATGACACAAAATAATTTGTTATTATTATAAACAAAATATTTTTTTTATTAAACTATTTTGTTTCAACAAAATTTATCGTATTTATTAACTCAACCGTTCGATTAAAAAATACACACTATACATTATCCCCATCAGCATCATTTAGTCAACGTGATACTTGGAATTTGAACTTGGAATTGGAAATATATTATTTGCACTGTTAAATCTATAGTGTCAGTCTGAACCTTATTTAAGTCGCCACTGCTCTTACTTAATAAAGTTCTTTTTTACTAAAACAATGGAGTAAAATAATTTAAAACAGTTCAAATTTAACCCAAATTTGGGTTAAATTCTATTGTTTTCAGTTAAAAATAACTATATTGTTTTAGTTAAAAATAATTACTTATTAAGTAGGAGCAGTGGCGACTTAAATTTAGTTTGACACTATATAGATTTAATAGTGTGGATAATTAAATAACATGCAAACACAAATAAATACTAATAGTATTTCGAACAGAATAATTAAATTGAATTGGTTCAGTTAGTTCTTGATTTAAAAATTTTGATGATTGACATGAATAAACTATACCTTTTTTGTGCAACTAAATCATTGTTGAATTAACCATTTGATCAAACAACTACAAATTTAGTCCGTACAATCAATTTTTTCTCAGTGTAAAAATCAAACCGTGGATACCGCTGTAAAATCACTGTTTGTCATGTAATATGCATAATAAAGAAATATGACTTGTTTGTCATGTAACATACATAATAAAGAAATATATTTCTTTCATAGCTGTTAAATAATTTAGGAACAAGAGTTAAAAACTTTAAAAAATAACAATAAACTCGTAACACTTTGTCTACGCTCTACTCCGCGATTCTGCATTCTCATCCAGTTCAAGTGATGTTTCGCATTTATCCAGAACGAGCTGATACAAATGGACAACCGTTCGCATTGATAATAATAAGTATGATTAATTACCTTCGGAGAATCCGACTTGATCGTGGATGTTCTTGTTGCTGTGGTTGTACGTACCACAAGCGAAATGTTTAATTAAATGTCGATTCTAGAATCCCAATCTCAGGTAGAAATGAAAATATGGAAATGCAATGAGTTGCACGGCTGGTAGATACGCAAGATAGCTGAATGCACAGGTTCGGGATAAGCGCATAAAATGCACGAAGTCATTTTTTAAACTCACATAAATCTTTCCGCTGCAATCCCCTTACTAATACGTACCATACCGTTGGTATCTATACGCCCCACACCATCGCTGTCGTTATGCGGGAAATCTCAATCGATGTAAGAACGAGTCACGCAACTAACAATTACATTTTTCACACATGTGCACAATGCGGATGTCCAAAGTTTTATAAAAATACGACGCAAAGTTGCAATTATAAAACGGAATTATACAAGAATATACATTTTAGATAAGGATAATATCTTTTTTTAGGTGAAGATCACATTTAAAATAACACTGTCGTGAAAAATATTAAAAAGTACTTTCGTCTATAAAGCGTTCACACTGCTCATCTCAAAATAAATCTATGCTTTAAAATGTACTCACTCTAATTAAAAAATATTATATTCTGTATTATATTTTATATTATTATTTAATATTATATATTTTTACTTTTATATTTAATATTTTTTCTCATCTGTGTAAAATCTTCTTAATTTAAGAACACATTCAATACGTAAAGTTTATTACGAAAATAGTCTTACTGCGTAACAGAATCTCATGTATATATGTATGTATGCGTATAATAAAACCGCAGCCGACGGTATTTGCAGTCATAGTAAAATTAGTTTTTTGCAGACTTTGTATAACTCCGCGTATTAGCTTATCTTCGGCGATGGAAACACATACCAATGTCAAAATTACAATTACAAAATAGTCTATTGCTGTCATCATATAATCCGAAGATCATGCAGCATCCTTCCGCAATCAATTGCAATGTCCGTCTGTTACGGCATGTGGGATTCGTGCTCCGTGCACCGAGATTACAAGTTAAGAACACTTATATGAACACTTATATAACAGAAAATTTATAATTCGAGCAGGAAAATTTCTCTTTCGCGCGCAGCGCGTTTTATCTTAAAAGAAAGATGGGAGAGAGAAAAGGTACACATCTTTCGCAATCCGTCGTCGTATCACGTTAATGCGCCCGGCTCTCGTCGACGGCGGTTCGCCATCGGCGTTTTACGCGTTTATTTCAATTCCACGCGGTGGATACGCACGGTTAAACGGATTTCGACAATTCATTTACCGTTTGATCTGACCCGCGCATTTCAATTATATGTTTACTCTTTGTCGACGGCATTCGCCTTCCTATTGAAGCCGCGTGCAGCACACCCGCCGCGCGTCGCGTCGGCGGCGGATCGTACCGACCGACGAGGACGGGGGAAAGTCAGCGGGAACGGATGCGGTGCCGTACAATTGAATTAATCTCGATCGAACAACGCGACCTCCGAAATGAAACGGGAAATCATGTTATCGCACGTGGCGGCGTGCACAAGCATGCGCCGCGGAACAAGCGGCTCTCATTAGTTGTTATTGTTCGATCATGATTAGCAACAAAACCGCGTTGTTGCTGAATATGGTACGTTATCGTAATTATATGCCTAGGAGATTGTTGCAGCCATTCGTATATATACCCCGTGACGCAGGCGAGTACGCGGAAGCGAACGGGAGTCTTTTGAAAGAGCTGTAATAATCGAAGAACGCGCTATTTGGCGCCTACCTGCTATAGTTACCTGTGCTGCGGTTACCATAGTTACAATTTTGTAGGAACTATTCAAAAGCAATTAAATGTTCTTAAATGTACTAAATTATTCTGATTCACATATATTCTCTCGAACGTCAGAATTCTTGTGTGAACATCGCTTTATGACAAGAATGTATGACTAATATGATAGCTGAATAGATAGCTATATGTAGATTAGATAGGTATATCTATTATATTTGAAAATTTTTCTTTGACTAAATAAATAATATCGCCCGAACATCGCCCACGTATTTATGACAGGAATGTATGACTACGTTTGAATAATAGATATTTAGATTTATTTGGAAGCTTTCCTTCCGATAAGTATAAGGGCTGATGGAAAAATTAATAGAGTCGATCAAAATTCGAACTCAGAATTCTTCGTTCTCATTTCTAGTATTTATCATGCTAATATTAGGAATAAATAAATGTTCGCTCTCTTATTTATTCTGATCGTCTATTCCCTAATTGACTTTCTTATTTTCTTACAGTAATATTTGTCCTAAGAATTTTTTCAGAAGAAATAATGCGTCATCGCTAGTCTGATAGAGAACGCTAGGACTGTAGCAGTAGTTCCTCGGAATTTTGAAAATTATATGCACGAAATTCGATAATTTGTACAAAATGTACAATTATGAGAAATATTGTAAAAAAAAAATAAATTCTATTTTTTAAATAATAAGTTTCACAAATCTTGTATCGTTTTCTTTATTTTGTACTCTGTAATCGGAATGTAAAGAATTTTTCGCCTTGTTGCACTGCGCGTCCAGCAACGAAAACTTGCTCGAAGCAAGCGTCACTTTTAACGCATTTGCTGATACGAGAAAGAAAACATCAAGCCGACTTGTCCATGGTAAGTTGGAGAGCCAAGTTTCGCCTTCTTTCGAGATTCATCCGATCGGAGATTTGAATCAGGTTTGCCTGCTCGAGACGGAGAGTCCGTCTTAATTCCTGCAGCTTCCATCCCGCCTCAATCTGCTTCTCGGCTATTTGCCTCTGCAACGCGGCGACCCGCCGGTTTAAAGCGTCGTAATCCGCCCGCAGCCGATCGCCATCGCGGTCCCGATTAATCGCCGATCGATCGTAGACCGCAGAACTGCTATCTTGTTGCACCATATTTGAAGTCAACATACAGATCTTATCGTGCAGCTCGGCCAGTTGCGTCAGTGTCAATGACTGATAGCGACATATACAAATACTTTATATTAACGAGCCAGTCATTTTCGTTCTAAAAATTATGTTGATACTAAATATTGATAGAAAAGTGACGAAGAAAAATTGTTTAGAAATAACAAAGTAATACCAATGCGAGTCCCGACACAAACTGCGCACCGCACTTTTTGTCGATTTTAAAACACAGTTCTTACATGAATCCACGAATTAAATTGACGAACAATTTAATATTTTTAATACTAACAAGCGTCTATAAGAATCCCTCTCCTGTAAAGAATTTATTATACGAAAAACAAAAAGTAGAGCGCGCAGTTTGTGTGTGGCTGTGTGGTGGATATTGTAACAATAAAAATTATTATACATACCAACATCCGTATCGGCTCGCATTGACATTACTTTGTTATTTCTAATTTATTCTTGGGAGCCTAATTTCTTTCGTTAAAAAAAAAATTTTACTTGTGTCATTTTTCTATCAGCGTGGCGATATACAGAAAATATATTTCAGCTTATTTATTACTGTGCGGATGCGGAGGAAAGTCGACGTGAGATTTAATAGATATAAAGAAGCGCGGAGCAGTAGAATGAACTCTTATCATCGCACGTACATACCTTTAACCAAGATTCAGGGTCAAAAGCTGCAAGCTCATCGCCATTATCCACACCTGCAACCTTGGTAACTTCCACACCAAGCTCCTGGGAAACGATTCATTTCCAGCGTTAATATGCAGGTCGGAAAATTCAAATTATTCCTCCTCCCCCCCTCCCCTTCAACCCCCGGATAAATCGTCAAACGGGATGCGTAACCGAATGCTATCCGTTATTAGTCTCACCGATAATTGCTTTATGTAATTCTCGTTGTCCTTCCTGCATTTGTCAAGCAGTCTCAGCAGTCTATCGAGATTCTGCACCTCGATCTCCGCGAAATAGATGTTCTCGGATAGCTTTTGCGATTCCTTTAATAGCTCCACGATAGACGGCACGGTCCAGCGCTCGATCTCGAAATCAACGTCGTCCAACGTCGTCGCCATCGCCGGTCTCGCGGGAATTTTGCCGTCCACAAATTGTACGTAATCACGCACGCGTCGCACGGCTGTGTTGTGTGTGCGCACGCGCGCGTGTGTGTGAGTGTATTCGCGAGAACAAATGCAGAACCAACTTGCAGAAATTATGTAATCAGAGTTTGTTCGCGTGTCACTTTCTATGTATCGCAAAATTCGTCACGCGTATAATATTAGCACTCAGCGCACAAAACTAACACGTGCAAGGCTATTGTTGACGTCGCGCAATTAATAGATTATAACAATTTGCGAAATGCGTTACTTTCGAGAGAGTGCCGTGAGCAAGAGCTCGTGCAAGTGCTTAACTTATTAAGACATTAGTCGGACTAATTACCGGCTATGAATAAGGAAACGACAGTTTTTAACGCGGAGCGATAAAAACTGTCGGAGTGTGACGAAACAGTTGAAAAAGTTTTTTTTTACGCAAGTTTTTTACCGTCATATTGCTTTTCAATTTGCTTCCTCAGTAATTCATTCGCCTTAACGAAGTCGCCGCATTCATCCGGTTTAATCGCGCCAGCCTCTGGAATTACAAAGATGTCTTTCCTTTAATGCGAAATGCGCGGCGCCGACGAGATTCAATGAGAGAAAGACTCGCCGAAAACCACGCCGAATGAATGAAACGCATTACACGACTAAATTATGTCCATTGATTTAAAACGCACGGCCGCGCTAAATATATTTCAATAATATATCGAAGAGGCCATACGAACCTACGGCAGATGGGACACGCTCAGGATAAGCTTTTATTTCGTCCGGCCGCGCTTTCAATCGACCCAGTTCTAATTCGAGACCGTCATTGATCATTTTTAATTTATTATTCTCTTCCGCCGCGCGTCTTAAATCTTCTCTCGCCTTGTCCATCTCGATCATCAATTTCGCCAATTCATTTTCAAGCCTGTCGATATCGTCCACATCCCCTATAAAGTCGCCTCTCGATTTCTCGATATTCTCTTTTAATTTATTGATCTCATCCCGCGCCCTTCTTAGCTCATCCCGCAATTTCTCGTTTTCTGCCATTAACTTCTCTAAATCCTGCCGCTCTTTATCAAGATCCGCCCTCGCCAAATCATTTTTTTCAGCCTCGATCCTCCGTATAGCTAATGCTCGCTCTTTCGAGGCGGCCAATTCGATTGTCAGTCGTTCGTTGTCCGCCATGCATCTATTTAAATCCTCCCGCAGTTTGGCCAGGGCGTCCTTCAGGGCGTTCAATTCCGTCAGGACGATACTCCTGCCCGCTCTCTCCGCGTTCAGCTCGTTAATCAAGTCATCGAGCTGCGCACGTGCGTCGTCGGCGCGAGCCTGGGAAATCGCGGCCTGAGCCTTCACGTCGCCCGCCTCTCTCTCAAGCCGTTCTTTTTCAACAAGCTGTCCGTCCAGAAATTTAATCTTCGTTTCGGCATCGCCGAGTACTTTCTTCAATTCATCGATCTCCGCTTTTAACTTGCCGCCACGATTCTCGGACTTATCGAGGTGGTTCTTAGCTGTCGTTAAATCCAACCTGAGGGAATCGAGTTCTGTTGCTATTTTAGTATTTTCGATTTTCAGCGTGGCGTTCTCGTTCTCCAACGCGGCATACCGTTTCTTTACGTCATTCAGCTCGTGCTTCAAACTCTCATTTTCCACACGCGTTCGATCCAGCTCCGCCTTCAGCTCCATTAATTCGCCGCTTAGAACGATCGCCTTTTTCTCAGCGGCTTCCCTCGCGGCTTTACCCGACACAACTTCTTTACCTAATCCACTCACTTCCGCTCGTAAACCGTCTAACTCACTCAGAAGTGCCTTCTTCTCCTCCTGCAGCGCGGCCGCACGATATTGCAATGCGTTCACCTTGTTCTGCGCGTCGATCGACGTCTTCTTTAAATCCTCCACTTCGCCGCTCAACCTGCCATTCGCCAATTCAAGAGCATCCAAATTCTTCCGCAGCTTTTCCAGCTCCGCGCTCGATCTATCGTTTTCCGATTGGCTAGCAGATAATTCCAATCTAATTTTTTCTGATAATACCTGTTCGGCTATCAGGCTGGACTTCAGACTTTTAATCTCGGCCCTCTGCCCGTCGCCCTCGCCTTTCAGCTTGCCAAATTCTTCCTCGAATTTCTGTCGCTCTTTCCGCAGACTCGCGTTCTCCCGTTTCAAGCCGTCGACCTCGGATATCAGCGCATCCGATTTATCTTTTAATTTGCCGCTCTCCGCCGCCAACATATTTATCCTGGATTTTAACGTGTCATTGTCCGCTCTCAAAGCCAACACCTCACTTTTCGCGCTCTCAAGTTCTGCCTTTAATGATAATACTTGACGCGACAGATTCTCCTCCTTGTCTCTCATCTTATCGTTCTCTGTTCTTAATTTAATCAATTCAGATTTCAATGTTTTGAGTTCCTCTCTCAAAGCAATGGCTTCATCCGTAACCTTCGTCAGTTCCTTCTGCGCCATTTCCTTAGCAGATTTTTCGGCGAACGAAGACCGATTTAGTCCTTCCATAAGATTTTTAAGCTCCGCGATCTCCCTGTCGAGCTTAATCTTCTCATTTCTAAGATTCGTTATCTCCTTCTCTAACGCCTGATGCCCAACCTGTGAATTTCAATGTGATTATTATCAACGGCACAGAAGAAGTTACAGGTGGAATACGTAACTAATTATCTTTACCTTACAGACGTTTAAAGCTCCCTTTGTCTTTTCGTTCTCGACGGATAACTTATCTACGTCCATCTTAAGCTTGTAATTTTCCAACTTCCAATATTCAATATCTTCCTTCGCTTTAGATAATTGCGATTGAAGATCAGATATAGCCGGTCTTAAATTATTAATCTCGCTCGTCATCTCGGCGTTCGCGGCCCTCAGGTTCAACGATTCTTTGCCGAGATCCAGCAGCTCCCTCTTGAGGGCGTCCCTCTCTTCTCTCAGGGCATGATTTTGCACCTTCATCTCGTCGATCTTCGAGATCAAATTTTTCATCTCGTTCTTCAACGCCGCTAATTCCTCCTGAATGTTTCGTTTAGCGGTAGTTTCTGCACTTAGATCTAGTTTCAGTTTGCTTAGCTGTTCATTTGTAACTTTCAGTTTGTTATTTAAACCGGTCACTTCCTGCCGCAAATCTGCAACTTCGCTATTTGCCCTCGTCAATTTATTACCCGTGTTATCTATTTCCTTTTTCAAAGTTTCTATTTCGGACAATAATTTCGTTACTCCTTCCTTGCCATCATCCACCTCTTGTAACAATTTTCTGTTCTCCGATTTCAACTTTGCCATTTCGCTCTGCAAAGTATTGAAGTCCACGAGCAGCTTGTTATTATTTACATTAGCCTTCTCCAATTCTTCTGTAAGAACTCCATTCTCGACTTTAAATTTGTTCAATTGTTTCTTTGCGTCGTCTAACGCTACATTTGTCCTAGACAAGTCGTCCTTAAGAAGGCCATTCTCGGATTTCAGCTTGTCTCTTTCAGTCGTCAGATTGTTCCTTTCGGTTTTAACAACAGCACTCTCGTCCCTCAGTTTATCGTTTTCAACCTTTAATTTATCCATCTCTTTCAGCAGTCTATCGAGATCGTCCTTCAATGCAACCCCTTTGGATTTTAATTGATCCGTCTCCGCCACTCGCCTCTCCAATTCGTCCCTTAAATGCTTATTCTCGGATAATAATTGATCTATCTTTGCCTTAATATCATTATTTTCTCCTCTCGAAGATTCCAGTTTCTTAATCATGTTATCAAGATTGTTTTTCAAAGCAACATTTTCTTCCTTAAGTTCGTTAGTCTCCAATTTAGCATTTTCCAATGTCTCCTTCAAGAATTCATTTTCAGCCCCGAGACTATGCAAATCGCCCCTCATGCCCTCGAGCTCTTTTTGCGCCACTTGAAATTTTTCCTCCCCGAGACGCAGGTCAACGTTCAACTTATCGATCTCGCTCCTCAGCTCGTCACCATCCCCCCTCGCGCCCCGCAATTCCTCCTGCGTTTTTCGAATTTCCTTGTCTAACGATGCATTCGCAATGTTTAATTCGTCGCGCTCGGATCTCATTGTCTCGACGCGCGCCTGCAGTTCATTTATACGACGGTCTCTCTCGGCCACCTTGCCCCGTATCTGCCCCAGCTCATCGAGAAGTTCCTTTTTCTCCGTCTCAAGATTATACAGCTGGGACCTCATATCTTCGATCTCGCTCTGCAACTTACTCGCGCCCAGCTCCGACTGCCGCAGGCTCTTGAGAAGCTTCGTAATCTGCGAACAAACATCCAATTGTCATGAATATACTACTACTGCGGAGTTGGACAAATATAAACATTCTCTGGCATTTGTCTAGCCCCGACGAAACAGGGATCTACGTGTCGGCATAAAACATTCATGACTCTTAACGTATCGCACGCGCGTGACCGACTATATATATGAGCGGTTTTACAAAACGCGGAGAAAAATAAAGAGTGGTAAAACCTTAACGTCAGGTTCCTCTTCCCTCATCTCGGCCGTCTCGTCCGTCACGATCGCGGTCACCTGATCCAGATCTAACTCCGCGGCTCTCTGTCGCTCGAGCTCGCTTTGCAGAGCCTCCGCGTAAGCCGTCTTCTCGTCCAAACGCGTCTTCAATTCGGCCAGGAGCGTCTTGCAATTACGAAGCTGACTTAGCAGCGTCGGCATGTCCGCTTCTTCCTCGTCTGTTGGCAGGCGCTCCTCCTCTATTCGCAACAGATCTTCGTAGGTCCTTGATAGATCCACCTGAATTGATCTCTCAACCACGGACACCTGTTGATCGGCCTTCTGACCATCTTTCATTAACTCACGAAGCTTCGCCCTCAAACGATTTAATGCCGCGCAGGAAGTATCCTCCTCGGCTTCCACCAGCTTCAGCTTCAGATGCGATATCGTGTCTCGCATTCTGTCACGGTATCAACAGTTTGCACGTTAATTATATTGGCGTACCGCATTTAATGAAGATAGATGATTTTCAAGGAAATATCGCGGACCGACGAACTGTGATTAATCTCCTTTTAAAGCTGTACAACTTGGCCGAGCATAAAACAGAAGCCTGTTCTTACCATTACGATAATTCCCGAACGATTAATTTGGTATTAATTTTATAGGAGCTTCTCTCTTTTTTTTTTTTAGCATTTTCCTTTCGCTTATTGCTCAATTATTCTCTCGTCTACCGAAGCGATATGCGGAAAGGGTGCAGAGAAAGAGAAGGGGACGGAGAGAGAGAAAGAGAGGGAAAGACTCATTAAACTGTCTTAGCGAAATTTCATAGTCAATAGGTATTATATACTGTTTTTTCTCGGCGGCAAAACGATCTCTCAGAGCTGCTATTTTCTCCCTCACGTATTTAACTTTTTCGCACGGATCGTCGCAGCAATCTCGTTCGGCGAGGCTCTCCCCGAGGTTGTGAACTTTTTCCGCCAGTTCCTCATTTGCATTCTGCAGCCTTTCGTTTTCCTCGCGGTAATGCACGAGTAAGGGATCAGTGCCCAATACCCTGTCGGGCTTCACACCTACATATGGAAATTATTTGACCGCCCGAAATATGTATATTCGGGCACTCTCCTTTATATGACTAAGAAAACACAGGATCTCCCGCGGCGAGCTGTGCGCGCATCGGGTGCAGAGCCACAAGAAAGTGGAAGAACGTGAAAACAAAAATAGCCATTGATGTATTTATCGGAAAATCGTTTAATTTTGCAACACAAATATTTTTATTTAATATTTCGCAAAATATCTGAAATTGATATAAGATAAATTTCATTGTGCAGAACTATACCGTACAACAAGTGGAACACGGAGCATCGGGAAAAGCGTCGCGCTAAAATTATTCTCCGTGCATATATAAATACTTAAACGGCTATTTCTTATAAAATTTGCTATACCCGTATTATATAACGAGATATAAGGAGAAGGAAGATTCGGCTATGAAGTGGAGCATCGATACCGAATGATCGTAGAGCTTGTTTCAGAGACCTATTTTCGCTCTCGAGCTGCAGCCGCTCCATCCGCCATTTCTTCATCTGGCACTTCATTACCGTCAGCTTTCGCAGGGCGAACGGCAGATCGTAGATCTCCGATTCCTTGGAATTGTCGCTGAAGGGGTTGTATTCGCAGCAGCAGCACGGCTCTTGCGGCGGCAATTCGATCGGTTTCGGCGGCCGCGGCGCGTGGCAGCCGCACAAACAATACGGCGGTGCGTATCGATCGTCCATGACCTGGTGCAATTTCGTGGACGCACGTTTAATCCCTCCGCATGACGTACGTTCCACGGCGCGAATTTAACTCCTCCTGAAAATGCCCTCGCAGTCATTACGACACGCACTCTCCCGGGGGTGGAGAAGCTCGTCGCTTGAAAAAAAAATTGTGTAAAAGTTACTCGAAATCCAGCGCGCCACTCTTCTTCTGTATTATAGTACACACCTCTAACATTATCGGGATGGGGAAGCGAGTTATTTATGACTCGGGTCAATTCATAGATAACCCGCGGTAATGGAGTGCGCTATCATTGTTCCGCAAAAACGCTTCGCCGGGATAAAAATCTTTTTATGCATGGAGATACGAGGTCGCGCGCGGAAACTCGTGAAACGTCAGTCATATTTTTGGTATACTATTCCCGGCGAGTTTGACATATAACTCGACGGCATCGACAGGCGTGATCGATATAACTCGATTTAATATAACGTCGAGTTAAACTTCGGATTAATTTAATTCCCGAAATCGCGTATACTCTGTTAGATAGGATCTCTGGCGGTTAACAGCGAGCTGTCTTACGAATCGTAATCATCGAATTTGTATAATCGAAGAGTTTGATTCGCATTTCGAGAATGCCGTGTCGATGGCGGTCATCTGGACGGAGATATAGGATTATGGGGGAACACGCGCGCATTATTCACCGAGTTGCCCGCGTTTCGGGCAAAGTTCCGCGCGCGCCGGAAAACCGGAAGTGCCGATTACGTACGACCCACATAATTAAGCGGTCGCTATAATTAAATTGCGCGCAGTATGCCCGGCAAAAGTCCTCGTTAGAGCAGTCTTATTAGGTGTTCCGATATTGAGGGGGCCGGCGCAGCGATACTGCGAACGCTTCTTAAGTTTCGAGAGTTTCGTGAGAGCACTTGGACCACAGTTCGGTTCTGTTCGAGAACTTATCGAGAGGGCCCGTCATCAATTAAATCTGCGCGGTAATTGCAAAGGAAGGAGGAAAACACGGGTGCGGCGCGAAGGGGGGAAGGGGGTTAGCCGGAACTTCACGAAACTTTCCACCCCCCTTTTTGCCTCGCCGTCCGCCGCATTACTCGTGCAAAATCACCGTTTCGTTAATCGAATTGGCGTTGAACAACAGACGGGTTCTTAGCTCTCGCAAAATGTACAATAAATATAGATGTATCGTGTATTATATGTACACACGTGTTACACAAATTCTCTGGAGCGTGAAGATATCTGCGAGCCTCCTGTTTTCCCTATCGCGCATATGCAACGATCGATTTTGCTACATGCCGAAGCATTCGTACTCGTTTAATCACCACAACTCGACGTATAAAAATTCTCAAGTATAAATCGATGAAGTAAATTATTTACGAACAATTAGAAATTTCTGCGAGCTATTGATTTTGTTACCATGACGTGTACGTTTCAATACTCATTGATATTTATTTTATTAATGTAATTAATAAAATAATATAAATTAATTGACGTTTATATTAAATTTATTACGCGGCACAACACCAACCACGACGGAATATTTTCGGAAAATTAATAATAATTTAAATGAAAATCTGCATAAAGGTAAAGTCATAAATTGGATATATAAATATATATATGTAGTTACATATATAAAATAATTCTATATGATTTTTTGATAGCTAATATTGATGTTTAGCAAAGTTTATTATCTCCCGCGTCCTCCTCCCTCCTGCTTTATGCGTTTTGTCACGTATTATATAACTCTGGTAAAATTGGAGAAGCAGCAATGAGTGACAAATATCTCGACAATTACCTGTCAGTGGTCGCGATTGACGTCGCCGTCGAGGAGAAGACGCGAATCGCCAAAATGGCTGTTGCGACATTGCACAAGCTGCATAACGTGATGGGGCAGATGAGAGATTGGCGGGAGGATAGCGCGAAACTGAAGAGTAATATCTGGCGGATGAAAATGGCTCTGCGTGCGGATGACAAGAATGGGAATGATAACCAGCAGATCGACCCTTTGATCGTGCATCAGAGGGCGGAGATTAGCCGGCTGGAGCAGGCAAACGACGCTTTGGAGAACGAAGTAACGAGTCTGAAGAGCGCTCTGACGAAAGCAGAGGAGGACGTCGCGCGCATCACCGTCTGCGAAATCGGCGACAAGATCGCCACGCTCGAGAGCGAATTCTCGAGTGAGCGAGAACGCATGAGCGATGAGATTTCGCGCCTGAAGAAGCGGCTGAGTGAGACCGAGGGGGACGAGACGAGCGTGATCGCGCTGAAGCGGCTCAGGGACGAGCTGAACGAATTCGCGCGGGGCGATCGGACGATAGAAATAATCTTCGCGAACGCGATCGGCAAGACCGTCGAGATGATTATCGGCCTGTCGGAGGAGCTTGTGAACGTTAGCGAGAATCTGTACAGATTCAAGACGAGAAACAGGAGCTTGCGCCTCAAGCTGGACAGATTGCGGGCCATGCTGCGATCGAGGTGCGGCAGTAGCGCGGAATATCGGAAGAGAATCGGCGAATTGAACAATCTCGCCGAGCAATTGAGGGGGGAGATGGGCAGGCTGAAAGTTATTCGCGAGAATGCGAGCCACAGCGGAAGTTCGGACGCCACGGGAATCCCGGACGTCGTTAGACGCGTCGATCGTTTGATGAACGACTTGAGGAACAATTTAAAGAGCGATCGCGAGGCAATGATCGCCGCCGGCGATCCCGACTGTTTGAAATACATGAAGAAGGTGGTTAATTTGAAGGTAAATCTGAAAGTGCTGTCCGTGGAGCTTAGACAATCGAACGTGCCGCTGGACAAACGGTTACGCGAGGGTGTCCAGCACGAGAAGTGCTTGGAGACGGCTTCGTCGTTGAACGATTTCTTGCGGGAGATCGATAACGAGATCGGAAAATTGAAGATAAAACCGATGGACGAGCATTGCAAAATCGGCGGCGTTAGCGGCAAGCGATACATGACGAAGGTCGCGGAGCTCGAGGACATCGTCGGGAAGTCAATCGCGGTGATCGCCGTCTTGAAGCGGGCTCCGCCGGAGATTGTGAATACCGACGAGAGAATAACGAAGACCCTGGAGGACGTGATCGAGCGGCTGTGCTGCAAAATGAAGGAGCTCGAGGTTTTCGACGATCGCGGGAATTTACGCGAGAGAATCGAACAGCTCGAGGCTTCGATCGTGTATCTAAAGTCGGAATTATTGGAGAGGAACGAGCGCGTGAACGCGCTGAACGACGAGCGTGCAGGCGTCAGATTAACGCTGGAGAGAGATCGCGAGAGGTACGAGGGGATTATCGCCGACGTACGCCAGGTGAACGAGGCTCTTCGGGGCGAGATAAGAAGGGGGAAACAAGAAATATCGGAGCTGTCGCTTGGGCGCGATCATTCCGAGCGGCGTGTCGCGGAGATGCGACTGCAGATGAAGGTTGAAATTGACGCGGCGAGGAAAGAGTTGCAGGAGCTTCGCGATGACAAAGGGACGTTATTACGGGAGGTGGAACGGTTGTGCAACGTTCTCGGGGAGAGGGACGGGGAAATCGGGAGTATTACTAGCCAGGGGGACGCGCTGAGGGCCGAGATGGAGGAGCTGAGGACGAAACTTGGGCTCGCTTCCGATGAAAATGTAAAGCTGCGAAGTATAATTGAGGGACTTGGGGAACGGGAGGAGGCGCGCGAGCGACCGGGCAAATTGAAAAGTTCGGCGGAGAACGAGAGCGGCGGGGACGGGCGGGACAATGGCGTACTGGACCGTGCGCGAAACCTCAGGGATGAATCGGAGCACTTGAAAGCCAAGTCAAATGAGCCTGAAATAAGTTCCGACAAGGCGGAGCGAGTCGACTGTTTGAAGTCGCGCGCGCCGGACGTCGGTGACGGGGTGGCCGGGCGGGTGGACGAAATCTCTGATTTGGTGCCTGATGACGAGCGGTCGTTGACGTATCGATCGAACGTTCGGACGTGCGCCGGCGAGGAAACATCGCGGGGAGAACAATTCGACGCGGTGACGGCGGAGGAGTACAGAGCAGCGTCGGAGGGGAATCAAGTCGAGCAGCTTCGGAACGAGAAAGAACAACTCGAGAAGGAGTTGTTGGAGTTGAGGTCCGAGAAGGGATTCCTGGCCAGGTCGACGGCCGACGCCAATAACAAGTGCGCCGCGCTGCAGGATCAAGTTAACAAATTTAAGTCCGAGCGTGACGGCCTTCGGGAGGGGATAAGCGAGCGCGCGGCCGCCGCCGCGGAGAGTTTGAAATTGGAGCTCGCGAGGGCGCGGGCGGAGCTCGAGGACGCGGCCGTTGACGCGGCGCGCCTGCGAGCGGAGTACACGAGGGCCGTCGGCGATCTGGACGCGCTGTCTCTACGGAACACCGAGGCCGAGGACCGTGTACGAGTGCTGTTGACGGAAAAGAACGAGCTCGCGACGCGTATTAACGAGCTCAATGATGAGAACGTCGCTCTGCGAGAGCAGTTGAATAAGGCGAGAGAGGAGAATGAATATTTTTCCATGGAATTGAATAAATCAAGGGTCGAAAATGACAAAGCGAAAGTGGAAAATGCTCTTCTGCAGGCGACCTGCGACGCGAGGGGGAGGGAACTCGCCGAGCTGACGCGGGAGCGGGACGACGCGAGGGGGAGAATAAATGAAATCGGTAACGAGTGCCGGGCGCTCGGTAATCAACTGCGGATCCAGCGAATGAAGTATGAGGCGCTGCGGCTCGCCGCGGCCGAGTTACGCGACGAGAATAACGATCGTGAAGATCACTCGAAGGAGATCGATACGCGGCGCTCGCCCGCGCGGGTGCGGGACCCGCGCGAGCGGGGATTCGCGGCCGGCGCTCGTGCTGCAGGCGAGATTAAACGGAAGCGGGATTGCACCGCGGATACCGCGCGCACGGGCGCAAAGGCCCGCGAAATTGGCGAGCGGAGGGACGGCGGGGCAGAAGTCAAAGTAGAATCTGATACACGCGTCGGCCGTGATAACAAAGCGGGGCTCAAAGACGAGCCAAAGGGCGAGCCGAAGAGACCGAGGAGCGGGAATAAGGCTTTGAAATTGGAGCGGGCGAATACGAGGTCCGAAAACTCCGGGCTCACTCCGACGGGATTGGTGCAGGGCAGATCCGAAAGTCCGGCGACACGCGGGGCGAGAGTACCGAACGGCGCCGAGGCGATCGTCGGTTCTTTCCTGAAGAAATTCGAGATCGCGAGTAACCGGCTGCACGAGGAAGGAATAAGCAATTATTCTGAGTACTCCGACGATCCGGATACGTCCGTGGGTAACGGGAGAACCGCGGCGCTCGATATCGATCGGCGCCGCGAGATCGAGAACCAAGCGCGACGGATGAAAGAGAATATTCCGCGTAGCGGTCGCGACTCCCGCCCGGCGGACGGCGAGGAGACGGAGGCCGACTTCGGCGGAGCGATGGCGGAGATTCAGGCTTTGAAACACGAACTGATGAATCTGAGGGACGAGAAGACGGCCTTGAGGTCGCATCTCGAGATATTTAAGGAAGAATTAAACGTATTGAAATCGGAGAGGGTCGCTTTGAAGGACGAGCTCGCCGTTTCGAGGAAGTCGAACAACGATCTCAGGCTCAAAGTGAACGACCTGCGTGGCGCTAACGAAAAATTGAAGGAGACAAATGCGGGATTAGGGGCTCGTTCGCGGGACGCGTCGAGAGAGACGAATGAGTGCACGACGGTGTTGGACGAAAGATTAAACGACAATTTTGAGCATGCATTAAGTGATTATCTAAAGAGGTGTAGTTTTGCGGAAAGAAATTCGCGAGTTAACAGGCGGAATCGGTTCGACCGCGTCTCCCCCAAAAATCCTGGACTGCAATCCGTCGAGGAGAATCTGCGACATATAGAGGGACAAAAATCCCGAGATTTATGAATATACATACTAAATTCTGTGCATGTATGTAATTTATTAAATTTTAGTGTCTTTACTCGTTTTATTGCACCAGCTAATTTGCGTCATGAAATTATTTTAATTTTCATTTAATTGGAGAAAGATGGGCAATTAAAGCACGACAAAAATGGCTTGTGAGGTTGAGAGACAAATTTAATTCTATTACGCCTTGTTAAAATTCGTTGTGCCCCGAATAGATTTTACACTTCATTTAGTTTCTTTTCTCGTCAAAGGTTCCACGTGTGCAGCCGGGTGGCTCGTCTAAAATTTATGAAGGTAACTCGTGTTTCTCTGCCAGCGCGCGAGCGCGCGCCTGCAGGAATCGTTTTAAGAGCAACCGACAAAACCTCCTGAAAGCGCGCCGCTACTTCATCTTCAGCTTTTAGGGCGACGAGTAGTTAAAGCCAAACAGGACAATGACAACAGCGGCGTGACGGCGATAAGGATAAAGCGGTGTCGGTGGAGCGCGTAATAATGCATTAATCGCGCGCGCATGTCGGGCCATTATCGCATACTCTACGACCACCGGCATCACGTCGAAAATCCTTGTCTGAGATTATTTCAGCAAAAAGGTAAAGCTCGCTTTGCGCAGCATAGTTGCCGCTCATCTATCATTCCTCTAGACTGCCAGAGTGCGACGTGGCACATTGCAAATGAGTGGATAGCTTCACCCCCCCTCCCCCGTCCATTCTCCCTACAATTATATTCTTCTTACATATCTCGGTCTTTGACCTTTGCTCTTACTCCATTAAACAGCCACAATTACTACATTTCGACGAGATTCCCGTCGAAATGGAATAAATGTTACAATTCTAAATTGAAAGTCAAAGTTTTTAATTAATAAACTGCAAAATAAAATAACAGTATTTAACGGCGAACGAAATATTATTTCGTTTAGATATTGCAATCAATAATAACGTTTTATTTAAAAAAAAAAAATCTTTTTTTCGCTTCGTCAAAAAAAATCCACAATAACCGCGCGTATAGCTTTACGCTCGATTATGCTTCGCGCGTAATTTTTTATTGCAATACGCACGCGGCATACGCGCGCGAGATGAAAAGCGCCTATCGCACTTGATATGAAAACGCGCGTTCGGATGTATATTTTGTAATATCTTCCGTGATAAATCAACTGATCGCGTGTAACAGCGGACGTCACACACGCGAAAAACATTGAATTGTCGTAACGACAGATGTTACAAACCCGGGGATGCCCCCTTTGTTTTGCGACGAGTCCGCACGTGAGATACACATTGATGCGGATTTTTGTCTGTGACTCGCCACATTTCCGCGGATTAAATGTTCCGGACGCGCATTATGTCGTGCGCGTATAATCGCATATCATACGAGCAATCACGAATGAAGAGACATCTCTTTCGCGCTGTTAATTTATCCTTGCCAAATGCATTATGCCGGATATAATACGATGATCCAAGTTTAATTCTAACATTTATCTCGTCTATATGTATATTATATTATATTATATTATATATTTTTCTCTTATTTTATACGTCTATTTTTTCTAATATTTGGTCCATTATCAGTATAATTATACAAATATGAAATAAGCACGACTGTTTCTCAGCGCAAAGAACAAATGCAACGTTAACAATTACTGTACTGTAGTGACCTATACCAAATATTAATTTTATAATATCTCGACATAAATAGACTATCATCCACGTTTGGAGAAAAATTTTGCACTTTGTACGGTGTCTTCTGTAGATGTACTATGAATAAAATAATTGTGGATAATCGTGTGACACATTTAGGTAATTTATTTATAAGATGCGCTGTTAGAATCCGAACATTTTATCGGAAAAATAATTTATTAGAGCTAAAAAAATTAAAAATGCAAAAAATGTTTCAATATTCACCTTAAGGGACTCTTAATTCCCTTAATTCCCTTAACTCGATGTAGTCGGTCCTATGCCTCGATTACCACCTTGATCCTGGTCCTAAAGCGCTAGTACGCCGACTTCAACTTGTGATCCCGGTTCATGACTGCAAACGCCACCTCGACGGCTCGGAGGAAAGCCACGTTCGGATTCCTGAACTTGTTGGTAACCCTTTCGACTACTCTCCACACGTATATAAGTAGGCAAAAGGGTCGAGCCCTTGGATCAGTCATGTCGACATTGTCGGAGCCAATTCTGTACCAAATGACTCGTGTGAGCGGATGCGCCGTCTTGCTGGAAAATATATAGCTTTGGATGGAGGTCGTGGCCTCCCTGAGGCATCGGCCACGACCTCCATCCAAAGCTTTACTACCGTCCTCAAGATCTTCAAATAGACCTCTTAATTTCGTGATCGTTTCTCCCTCCTGAAAGAAATGCGGCTGCATGAAACCGCCCTTATACTTGAGATGACGTTTAGAATGTGGACACACTGACCGAGAACTTGATCTTACCACGGGGATGAGCTTGAGGTCGTAGTTGAGCCAACGATCGTTCCTCCAGTCCACCTTGGCATCTAAAGTATCTTCTCGTCAGAGAAAAACCTAAGATGGTCAGCAGTTTCATGCTTAGTTAACATATGAGTAATTTGTAGCGGGCAAGTCTCTTGAGCTTGGTGGCCTCGGAAAGCATTTGGCGAACCTTGAGGACGTATAATAGGACGTGTATTTGAAATTCCTCTGAGCGATCTGACGGTCGACAGATGGTCGTTCATCCTCAAGACCGCCAATTTCCTGAGCGAGGTTTCTGATTTTCCGAAATGAGGTCTCGAAATCTTTGAGTGAGTTCCGGGAGTTCTTATCACCTTCTTCCTTACTTGGATCTTCCTCGCCAGGGTGGAGGAGCCCTCCTCGGACTCCTTTGAGGCCTTTGGGCAACAGATCGTACATCGATTTGAGATACTCGAAGAATCTTATTATTTCGCTTGGCGTTCTTCCGGCGCGAAGATTTTCAATTAATCGCCGCCCTCCGGTTCCTGGCTTAATCTGACCCTGATCAACTCTGCCATTTCAATATTATGAATTTCTTATTCACGTGTACCTTAGTGCCAAGTGGCAACTACAGCTAAATTCTAATATAGCTGGAATTTCAAATTCAATTTTGTCCGAATAATAACAGCGCATTCTGATGTAGATCGACACATACATCGCCGCGTGTATTTTTATATTAAGTTAATTATAGCTGGTATAAGTCCACTCAAATCTCTACGAGAAAAGTTCTTTAATGTTTATCACAAAATTCAAAGAGTCTAAATTTTGCCGCCATATTCCTGCATCGGCGTTATCTTCGCTGCGTTTATGTTTCGTGCATTTTCACACGGAGGCAAACAATGAGTGCGCACCGTTGCAAATAAAACGCAATGCGTCGAGCTGCATAGTCAGACTGCGTTTCGCGAATGCAGTCCACGTACTGGTCCATGACTAAACAGACTTTAATTGCGGAAAATCACTGTAATCACGAAACGCTGGCGCAAGCTCGTTTTTTTCTTCCACCGTTTTCCGACTGTCATCCCCATCGTGACGCCGGCGAATGTATCTGATAAATAAAAACCGAGAATTATCATCATTTTACAAAAAAAGAACTAATAATATACGCAAATTAATTATTAACACAATGATGAAAAACTAATGATCGTCGCGATAGCCAATTCTTCTTTACAGAAGTGATTGTAAATTTACAACGTTCATTTAATTATCTTTCTTATCTGATAGTTTTTCAATAAATTACATATATATTGATAATTAGATATACGTGTATATACCTAGCTATAATAGATTATCGAATCAAATTTTTATAACATGTTCGAAATCGAATCAAATCTCTTTAATTTGAATACGAATCGAATCAAATTTTCCTAAATTCGAAATCGAATCATTGTTGATTCGAAATTCTCGAACTATTCGATTTCGAATCTTGCAGATTCGAAAACGAATCGGATCGAATCTACTGTGATTATGCTATCTATTCGAACTATTCGCACACCTCTAATATATATAAAATCAGATCTATTGTGGCCGTGCAAATCCGATTATATTAAAAAAACCTATAAAAATCGGTATTCGTCAGTCAATTCTTACTTTATGATAATCATAAGTAATGTCTTAAGATGTTGATACGGTTCTGATTGCAGGCTCATAATGTCTTAAGAGTGTACTTAAAACGATCTTAAATATAAGATTCGAATATGAATACCAGTAAAAAAAAACACTATATCTTATCGAAGAATAAATTTAAGATATCTCTCTGCTTGACAACTTCACGACGCGCGACATCTGCATAATGTTTTCCAGGATTGTATTCGATTGATATCCCAATGACAGTATTTCGGAACACAATAATTTCAATTAAATTATATAATTACTCAAATGTACAAATACTAAATTATTATTAATAAACTTTAAAAGTTATATATTCTAAAGGAGATTTAAAAGCTAGATTAAAATGAATGAGTTTTGAAACAAATAATAAGGAGAAAAGAGCTAAATTAATTTGACCGAGGCTAGATGTTGGTTGCTCAATTAATAATATTTTTGATATTTTTGTCTAGTATTTAATAGTATTTGAAGCTAGTTATCGTACATAAAATAAATTCAAGAATAATTGGTTAACTTCTTACTTACATCTATTATAAATCGGTTGTGGTTATATAGTTTTTACTTTATAGCGAATTCGATTAGACGGGCTATTGCGCACTCAGTGCACAATTAATGTCGTTGTACTGTTCTAAATATAAATGTAATAGTATAATATCTCGAATAATAAAATGTTCAATACATATTTTATCGAATAAAATAATAAAGTACTATTAAGAATTTCACGATTTAACCGTCTCTATATTTATATTAAACATACATTTTGTACGTTAATCGCAACGATTTTAATGTGCACCGAGTGCCCACCAATTCGTCTAACCGAATTCGCAAAATTCAAGACATCAAAGACAAGATATCGATGAAACATGGATGGAAACTCGTGATATCGATGGCAAAATATCGAAACATCAATAAGTGAACATCGATGTTTTCT